CAGTCCTGTAGAAGAGTTCTACAAGGAGAACCCCCTAGAGATAACCCAGGACACTGAATTTAAAAGAACAATCATAAACATGATCAAGGAATTCAACGAATTTAAAGAACACAGGAACAACGAGCTAAATCAAAGAGCTAAAATGAGACAGGGATAAACTTCTGAATGAATTCACAAAAGAGATAGAAACATTGAAGAAAACTCAGAAATTTTCTTCAGAAATGAAGAAGGAAATACAAAACTCAATAAGCTAACTTGAAACAACAGAATTGGACCACTCAAGCAAAGAGTACAGAAAATTAAAAAAAACCACAGGAATGGAATATGCAAGAGATGTGGGACACCTAATGGAATATGCAAAAGATGTGGGACACCATGAAAAGACCAAGTATATGGAACATTGGAATAGAGGAAGGAGAAGAATTTCAGGTTACTAGTGTTGACCAGAACTTAAACAGGATTGTAGAAGAGAATTTCCCGAAATTAAGGAAAAACATCCCCACACAAACACTAGAAGCACATAGAACACCAAATAGACAGGATCAGAAAAGAAACTCCCCACGACATATCATAGTAAAAACACTAAATGTACAGAACCAAGAGAGAATACTGAAAGCAGCAAAAGAAAAACAAAAGGTCATATACAAAGGAAAGCCCATCAGACTTACAGCTGACTTATCAGTGCAAACTATGAAAGCCAGAAGAGCTTGGACCAAGGTATTTCTAGTTTTACATGACAATAGATGCCAGCCCAGTATACTGTACCCAGAAAAAATGTCTATTATAGTTGATGGGGGAAGAAAAATCTTCCAGGACATAAATAGGCTGAAAGAATTCATGTCCTGAAACCAGCTCTTTCAGAGAGTTCTTGAAGCAATACAAAGAGCTGAAGAAAGGAACAACTGTACCCAAGGGGTAAGAGAAAGAAACTTAATGAAGGCATAACTGTGGAAATACACAGCTATATCAAGAATGCGAACAGAAATCAAAACAACAGGAATCAATACACATCTTTCATTAATACCTTTGAATATCAATGGACTGAACTCCCCAGTCAAAAGACACA